GGGATTAAAGGCGTGCGCCACCACCGCCCGGCTACGCCTTTAATTTCAGCACTCGGGAGGCAAAGCAGGCAGATCTCTGTGAGTTCGAGGCCAGTCTGATCCACATAATTAGTTCCAGGTCTGTCTCAAATACATTTAAAAAATGATTTATTGTATTTTCATGTATAGAGGAGGCTGATATGCATGTGTGTGTGCATGTGCAGGCCTGAGTTTGATGTCAGGTGACTTCTTCGATGGCTCTCATCTTATAGATTGAGACAGATGCTCATTGAACCCACAGCTGATTGCCATGGTTGATCAAACTAGCCAGTTTGCTCCAGGTTCCTGTCTCTACCTCCTATGTGCTGATTAGAAGCAGGCCGTCTCCTGACCAGCTTTTAACTTAGTTTCTGGGGGATAGAAGCAAGCACCTGCAAGCCAACTCCCTAGCCCTAAAAAGATTGCTTTTTGTGTTATGCAAATTTAAACTCAATTCTAAAAACCTATTGAATTTATAAAATTATCAGAAAAAAAGTCATGGAAGCCAATGCACCTTTTGCTCCAGCTGAGACCATTGTATACAGCCACTTCCTCCCCTCCTTCCCCCCCCCCCCAAATAGAAAGAATCCCTCCAGGATAGCAGAAAGCAGACCCGACAAGAGTATTGATTTTAAATTAAAGCCTGGAGAAAAAGCCAGAAGTCACCCTGGATGTAACAGAAGAAAATGTAACAGACAATGTTGCTTACTTCTGCGCTCCCAACACTGTTACTGTTACTTTCATTATAATATCTTCAGACATCTCTGAGGTACGGAAAAGCACCTAACCTTTTTTCTTCTAACCAAACACCTGAAAGCAAATACAGTCATTGAAAATGAAAATAACAGAGCACACATGTAAATTTTTTCTTTATAGAACCCGCTATACTGCCTTTGCAACTGTTTCCAATTAAATATGCATATTAGATTAATGCCACCATGCATTTTGCAATTTCCAAATATAGCACATGGATATGCCATTAAATGGGGGAAACACTGCTGAGCCCAGCTGAACACAGAGATGTTTTTATTACATTACCATGCTCTGCTGCATCCCTTAGAAGACAAAAAGAATTATGGCTACAGAGATCAAAGGGCTTCTCTCCTCCCCTATCGATCTACTAGAAGACAATTTGATTGCTCCTACATTTAATGCTCAGATCATCCAAGCTTCCTAGGCTGGGGTGGAAATCAGCTAAGATTTATAAATCCTTTCTCACAAAACACATACAAAGAGAATGGGATTATATTAAAACAGTAAGTCACACTGCAGATTTTTGAGGATTTATGCTTCTGTAGGGTCTCAGTGATTCTTCGTAGCTCTGGATACCAAGCAGAAATGAAGATTGATCATGGAGGACTTTCTCATCTCTCCTCCTCACTGATTCATCACGGGAGCCACCAGATGGCAACTGTCGTCCCTGATGAAGCAGGTGGCCTCTGTGCAATGTTTGTGACATTTCATTCCAGCTCTCTAATGGGTTCTGCTTTAGAGTGCCCAGCAGAGTGTAACCCAGATCACAGAATAAAGGCTAGGAATTTGGAATATATCAGGAATAGGTCTAGTCTGTTGGTGATAACTGCACGGGGCAAACCCCAAAGGAGTGTTTTGTTGTTGTTTGCTTGTTTAAGAGCCTACATCTAGAGGCTGTTGTGAGCACTTGCTGCTCTTGCACAGGACACAGATTCAGCTCCTAGCACACACACACAAAAGTGCACAACCATTGAGCTCCCGGGGAATCTGATGCCCCCTTCAGGCCTCTATGGGGACCTGCATACACAATCATATACATAAATCCTCACACTGATATTCACATACACGATTACAAAACAAACCTTTTTTTTTCTTTTTTCCAAGATAGGGTCTCTCTGTAGCCCTGGTCATCCTGGAACTCACACTATAGATCAGGCTGGCCTCAAACTCAGAGATCGGTCTGACTCTGCCTCCCAAGTGCTGGGATTAATGGTGTGTGCCACCAAAAATAAACATATATTTTTAAAAGAGCCTACATCTGATTTTTCCCCCCTTTTCGAGACAGGACCCTATAGCCAAAACTGGCCTGGAACTTGCTATTTACTCCAGGTTAGCCTCAAACTCAAACTCTTCTTAGCCATATCTGCCACATGCTAGGATTATAGGACTATACCACCAGGTCTGGTTTAGGTCTATTTTGCCAGGCTGGCCCCCAACTCAAGGGTCGTTTGATTCTTCTGCTGCAGATGCCCAAGTAACAGGCTGAGCCACCAGCAGTGCGTATTAAGACAAATTTACCTCAGGTAGACTCATCTGCTATGCAAATTAATGAAGAAATGGACTGCCTATAAAGACTTCCTGACCAATATAAATAAGTCTTGGCCAGATGTGGTGGTCCATGCCCTATATCCTGATGTGAGAGTCCCCTCTGTATGCTGTGAATTCCACTGGTTAAAAGAAGCTGTTTTGGGCCTGTGATAGGGTAAAGCAGAGCTAGGAGGGGAAAACTAAACTGAATGCTGGGAGAAAGGAGGTGGAGTCGGGAGAAGTCATGGAGCCGCAGCCAGAGACAGACATGTTGAAATCTTGCCGGTAGGCCATGAGCCTTGTGGTAAAATATAAAATAATGGAGATGGGTTAATTCTAGAGCTTGCTAGCAATACACTTAAGTAATTGGCCAAGCAGTGATTTAATTAATACCATTTCTGTGTGAATATTTTGGGAGTCTGGGCAGCCAAGAAACGAACAACATAATCACAGCATCCAGGAGGCAGAGGTAAGTAGATCTCTTTGTTCAAAGCCAGCCTGGCCACACAGCAAGTTCCAGGCCAGTCAGAGCCAGAGAGACCCTCTTTCAAACAAACCACCTCCTTCAGGGCTCATCAAGCTTTAGCTCACTCAAAAAGGAGCTCCCCTGGTACCTGAAGTTCGTGGGACACTTTAGATCAAATATAAGCACAAGAATCTAAGGTTAAAATCAGAATGCAGGAGATCCAGCCTCAGAATCTGAGATATTAATCCCCAGGCTGTATTCCACCCCTCTTCTGCTTAGTGGTAAATGTAGGCAAAGCAAGAAGGAAGAAGTAAATGATTCTATATCAACCTCATGATATTAATGGATAGATTCCCTTATTCATTAGGAAGGAACTGACTGTACTAAGAGACTCAAGTAGGCCTGCTGCCATGTGTAAGTGCTTGGCAGACTTTCAGAAGATCAATATGGCATTTCATTTGTGGAAAGACTATTAAATCTCTGTAGGAAATTAATTCAGATTTCCCCAGTCTAGTTTTGAAGAGAAGCCAACAATTACATTTATTTGTACATCACAACATTCAAGGGATAAAAAGTGAGACTCTTATTCTTCTTTGAAAAGGGTATCATGTATCCTGGGCTGATGTCTAACACTGTCTCAAAGCAAACTGTGGAGGGCTGGAGATGGCTCAGTGGTTAAAAATGCTCACTGTGCAAGCTTGAGCATCAGACTTGGATCCCAGCACTCTTCTTACAACTCAAACTTCTAGCAAATGCTTGTAACTTCAGCTCTGAAGGATACAACCCTCTTCTGGCTCCCATGCATGTACAGGAACACGCACCTATATACACAAAGACGTTTAGCATACACAAACTTGAGGGGTTTTGTGCCATTTTGTTTTTGAGATGGAGTCCATGGAGCCCTGACTGTCCTAGAACTTGCTACGTAGACCAGGCTGGCCTTGAACTCAGAGATCCTGTCTCACGTAATACCTAGCTGGCTTCTATCTCTATTCCAAAATCAGGCCCTCAGGGGTTAGGGAGATGAGTTAGCAAGTGCCTGCCATACAAGCATGAAGATCTGAGTTCTATCCCTATCCCGAGCACCCATATAAAGACCTAGACATGGCAGTATGTGCTTGTAACTAAGGCTCAGTAGGTAGAGATGGGAGCATCTCTGGGGTCTGCTGGCCAGGCAGCCTGTCCAAATCAGTGAATCCCAGGTTACAGGAGCGACCCTATATTGAAAAAAAAAAAAAAAAAGTAGACAGCCCCTGAGGACCATCTGAGTAACTTCTGACCTAAGCTCCCACACCCCGAACAAAATTTTATTTTCATTATTTATCATGTATGAATATATGTATGGGAGGCATGCCATAACAGACGTGTGGAGGTCAGAACTATCTGTAGGAACTGGTTCTCTCCTACCACGTGAGTTCCAGATATTGAACTTAAGGCTTGGCATGGGCAACATTATCCACTGAGCCATATCTCTCTCTGGCAACAAACCAGGATTTCTAGTATGTGATATTACACAATAAAGGGTAAATTCATCAGGCTTTGATTACCAGTGTACACCAGAGATTTGGGGCCATGGCATGAAGTTTATGCTAACAGTGTAACTTGCTTGTGGGCAGGTTCTGCGGTATAAGGAGCTAATTACCAAAATCACAAATACACTAGTGCCTCCTTAACTCCCACTAAAACGGAATAATACAGTGAACTTGTTGGCAAGACATCATCACACTAATTTCTGAGAACAACTGCCCCTACATGACAACTGGAGTAAGTCAAGCAGAAACTTGTGCCTTGTTGTCCTTAACTCCAGGAAATGTGCCTGTTCCCCTTGCTGATTTTAATTTGCATCCTCTGGATTTGACCTGAGGATGGCCTTGGAAATCCTAACTAGGTGCTGGCTGCCTCCGCTGCAATGGCATGGATTCTACAACTGTCTACTGTCACAGCAGCTCGGCACAGCACAGCAGCGGCAAGTGTCAAGACACCGATTAAATACCTAGTCACGGCACTTTAATTCAGACACCTGTCTTTTGAAGTGTTTTGTTTTTTAAAACCCAGCCAAGGGCTGCTGAGCTGTCTCATAGATAAAGGTGTTGCCATCAGGCCTGACTATCTAAATTTGAACTGCAGGACTCACACGGTGGATGAAGAGAAATTATTCTTTTGCTTTCCTCCCACGATATTATAGCACACACATACATACAATAAAAAATAAAGAAAAAATGTCAAGAAATCAACATTGGATAAAATAAATTTTATTAAATGTCAGAAGAGATTCACACACAATTTCATAAATTTTTTACAAAACATCTGCCAATGTAAGTTCAATCTTATAAGTTTCTGTTTGGAAATTTTGCTGTGAAATAAGAGTCTATAAAATATTTCTTCTAGAAAGCATCAGGATGCTAATTTTAGGCAAAATAATGCTTAAAATTAATTTTAAACATTAAGTTTAAAATATAAATTTCATGACCTTACTTCATGAAAGCAAGGTTCTCAGACTCTCATTCTTTATCCCAGTGATGAGAAAACAAACATTAAACATAGAACCAGTTAAGGTAAGTGACTGAGGAAACAATAAGGATTCTGTAAACTTCTGGTAATTCACCTGAAATTTTTTGCTACTTTCAGAAGCAGTGCCATGACAAGTGCCATTATCAACAGCCACACTGAGGGAACCCATCTGACACCTGTCCCAGTAGCACTGATCTATGCAAATAAAACATCACAGAGAAGCACCTCATATTTAGGGATGTTAAGAGCCGTACCCAACAGGAGACAGTCTCTCCACTGTCTCAGAGCTGGATAACACTGCTTTAATAGGATCACTGTTGGTTTTTAACGTTTAGAATAGGACAGGATTGTGTAACGGACAGTAGTTTTGGTGCTGAGTGCACCCTGCGGTTTAAAGTCCGGCTTTGAACTCAAAGCAAAGCTGCTCTGCAAGGACACCTGCCCGACCCATGCAGCCTGGAAGGCAGAATCCTAGCTGCCAGATGACCAACCTACCTCAAAGATGGGAAGCAACCAGCAACTTCCTCGTATTTGGAATCACAAGGAATTTTAAAATTCAGTGTTTTCAGTTTTTCCCCTGAGTTTTGAGTGCTTTGTATATAGTCTCTAGTGTAGTAAATACATTCTATTGTTTCAAGTTGTACACACAATGCTAGGGTTCTGGTGTGGAAAATCAGAAGCTAGCTCTTAACAGCACAAAGTAGTGGTGGCTACATGTTTCTGAGAATCTTTGGTGTGATGCAGACCTGCAGAAGCATCCTTACTGCATTTTCTTCCTCATATACCCTCAATTCTTCATGTTATTTTCAAAGGAGAAACCACAAGACCGTAATGAAGAACAAGCAGACCATCCTGGAAAGTGAAAAAAAAGACTATTCAGTTCTTTCAGAACTAGTTATGTATGATATATGAACAAACCAACATGGCCTATTTTTTATAATCTAACAGTAATGAGAAATTCTTTAACATTAAAAAAGAGAGTACAAGATAAATATAGCTGGTTTTTATTGGCATGACTAAAAACTCGCCGTCAATGTATCTTTTTTCTTTCTTTCTTTTTGGTAAAAGATTTATGAAGGCGCCAAATCTCATTACAGATGGTTGTGAGCCATCGTGTGGTTGCTGGGAATTGAACTCGGGACCTTGGAAAAGCAGTCAATGCTCTTAACCGCTGAGCCATCTCTCCAGCCCCTCTTTCTCTTTTTCTGAGTCAGAGTCTTGTTATACGGCTCTGTCTGGCCTTACTCTCTGAATAACTGCTAGGATTCCAGGCTCGCACCACCATGCCTCCCATTCCTTTCTTCTTAAGACTTAGAATTGTGAGCTGCCTGACAAGGGTGCTATGAACCAAACTCTACAGGAGCAGTACAGGCTCCTAACTGCTAAATCATCTCTCCAGACTCTAGGTCCTTTTGAAAGATGGGCCCAGCCTGGCCAAAAATTTCTGGGCTGAAAACAATTTTTGCCCTAGCCTCCTGAGCAGCTCAGGTGACACACCCCAAACAGCTCAATATGATGACGCTCAGAAGCCAATGTGTACCTCTCATATAACCACAGCTAATCAGGGACAGGCATTTATGATCAAAAACAACCGAGAACTTTTTTTGTCCACAGACTATTCACAGACTGAATACTTGATCTATCTGAGAAAGACTCAACCCACTGCAACCTGGCAAACTCCAGAAAAGACAAGAAGATTCTGGAAAAGGATATACAAATTCAAATGCTCACAAAAGCCAGAAAAGTAATGTAATGTAAATGAATGTGAGATAGTAAGGAATGGCAAACATCAATGATAAACCAAAAAGCAGATGCTTATCTGCATGAATTTAAAAATTTAAAATATAGAAAAGACCAGCAATTGGGACAGCCAGAGCTGTTACATAGAGAAACTCAGCCTCACAATCAATCAATCAATCAATCAATCAATAAGTGTGTGGGGGAGAATATAGGTCAAATAAAACATGATATACCATATTTGATCCATGAACCATCATTATACCTACTCAAATTAGCATGATCAAAGTGAATATCCATATAACACAAATACAAAGATTCCATTACCAGATTTATATACATAAAAATCATACTTTTGCATTTTTGTCATAGTTCAGAAGTTAAAAAGTATCATTTTTCAGAATAATACATTGATATGCAGATATAAAACTCAGTGTAGCTTACAAGCTGTTTTAAGATCTCAAATTACTTCAGTGCATATATATGAACATATCTTTCAAAATAATTGCTTGTAATTTAAATGTAATCTAGATGCTATATTTATATTTTCTATAAATATGTATATGTAAACAACATTTAAATTTATATTTTCTATTCATATCTCTATCACCGTTAACTTTTAACTCTATGCCAGTTTATGGTTTGTCCTTCATAGGTTCAAATCTAAAGCTTGATTCCCAGTGTAGAGTGTTGAAGATGTGGTGCTCAGTGGAAGGTAATTAGATCAGTGGTCTCCACTCTCATAAATGTATTAATGCATGTTAAGGGAATTACCAGGTAATGTTGAGACTGTATTAAAGCCTTGAGTGTCTCAAATAGCAAAGCAGGTCTCAAACTAACTATGTAGCCAAGGGTGGCCTTAACTACTGATCTTCCTGCTTCCACCTACCAAGTGACAGTATGAGTGCCACCACACCCAGCAAATGTGGCTATTATAAAGCAATTTCAGCTGTCTCCACTAGCACTCTTGAGTAATAAATCAAACTGCCACTTTCGTTTTGTTCAGAAGTTGTAGCATGATTAATAAAAACCCAGAGACTGATACTGGGGTTTAACCTGAAGGTCAGAAAAGCTAAACAGTCAGCCACGGGTTCTTACCTCTACCTCAGTCCGAAATGGTGATCCTGCCTCCTGAATCCTCAAAATGTGAGTGAGAGTTGTCTCCTCCCATCTTATATTCCTCTCTAGGGCTGAGAATAAAGGTGTGCACCACTACCGCCTGGTTTCTATGGCAAACTAGGGTGGCTACTGGGATTAAAGGTGTGTGTCACCACTGCCTAGTCTGTAAGGCTGATCAGTGGGGCTGTTTTACTCTCTGATCTTCAGGCATGCTTTATTTATTAAAATACAAATGAAGTATCACTACAAGAAGTTTCCAATAGTTTCCTGTCACACTCAATTAAAATTCAAAGATTTTTGTTTATGAATCTTTGGTTTTGCTTGATGTATAGACTATGTAGCCCAAGGTCCTCAAACTCAACAGCAAATTTAGGTCCTCTGCAAGATGAGGCAGTACTCAATCCCTGAGGCATTTCTTCAGCTCTATCACCACAGAATTCTTATAATTCATTACATTGTAAATCTGTTTAGCATAAGTCTGATAAAGTCCAAAACCAACCTGCAGGGGCTGGAGAGATGGCTCAGAGGTTAAGAGCATTGACTGCTCTTCCAAAGGTCCTGAGTTCAATTCCCAGCAACCACATGGTGGCTAACAACCATCTATAATGAGATCTGGTGCCCTCTTCTGGCATGCAGGCAGGCATGGAAGGAATGTTGTATACATAATAAATAAATAAATATTAAAAAAAAAAAACCAACCTGCATTGCTGCATCACCTATTGCACGCCGGATTTCCCGTAGAGTTTGGTACCGTTCCAATAAGTGATCACCACAGATGATATCTACCTATGGGAAAACAACAGGCTATATCAGACCACTTTCCTGCTTCAAAACATGTGAAGAGGGGAATTAGCATGACTATTTCACGATTGTATTTAACTATTTTATAGTAGATTTTCTAAAAATTACAGTGTTTTCTTTATGTGCACCCTTGTTCATGGAGTCCAAAAAGTGTCCTCTATCACTGTCTTAACTTACTTTCCCTGGAACTGGAGCTTACTAATTGGTTAGGCTGGAAGGCTAATGAGCTCAGGGAATCTATCTATCTGTGCCTGGGCCTGGACTACAAACATGTACTGTGGAGCTGGATCTCTTAGTAATAGGCCAGACCAGCCATGTTACACAATAAGATCCTGTCTCAAAACAAAACAAGCAAAAAATCAAAGGGCTAGAAAGATGGCTCAGCAGCCAAGGGCACCCAGTTAAGCCCAGCACCTACATGGCAGCTCACAGTCATCTGTAACTCCAGTTACAGAGGATAAATGCCCTCTTCTAACCTCCTTGAGTACTGCGCACAGGTGGTACACAGATAAATAAATGCAGGCAAAAGACCCATACATATAAAATTAAAAAATAAACATAAAACAAAAAAGGAGGCTGTGAGATGAGCTCAGTAGCATTACTTAGCAAGTATAAAGCCCTGGGTGCAATCTCCAATATAGCATAATGAAACAACTTATTTATCGTCTCTAGGATTTGGAAAGCTTAAACACTGAAAGTCACAATTCATGGGTCTATATCTTTGATAATCTTTACCATTATTTCAATATTTTGAGAAAATGCTAAGTTATGACCACTACGAGGTATGAATTAACAGTAGGATTCGAGACCAGCCTGGTCTACAGAGCTAGTTCCAGGACAGGCTCCAAAGCCACAGAGAAACCCTGTCTCGAAAAACCAAAAAAAAAAAAAAAAAAAAAAAAAAAGGAATATTTACCTACATAACTAAGAGCTGGCAAAATTTTAAAAAATTTAAATAATTTCTAAAACTCTTGAATATTATGAGAAAAAAGTGAAACTGTCTTTTTAAAAAAAAGATCGTATGTGTGCAGATTTGTGTAAGCCTGTGTGCCACAGTGAGTGTGTGGAGGTCAAAGCTTTGACTGCTGTGTAGAGTCAGTTTTCTCCTTCCACAACTATGTGGCTCAAGGGACTGAATTCAGGTGACTCAACTTGCAAGGCAAGTGTCTTTAGCCACCTCTCTGTCCCAAGCCCATATTTTACAGATCAGTCAAGAGAATAAACATTTTCAGTGTCTCATCTTTTAAAAAGCATTATTAGGCTGGCTCAGTGATCAAGGGGACTTGCTGCTCTTCCAGAGAACCAAGGTTCAATACCCAGCACCCACACTGTGGCTCACAACAGTCTATAACTTAGACTCTGTGGTAGTTTGAAAGAAAATGACCCCCCTAAGGGAGTGGTATTATTAGGTGTTGTGGCCTTGTTGAAATAGGTGTGGCCTTTTTTTCTTTTTTTGCTGAGCATGGTGGTGCACACCTTTAATCCCAGCACTTGGGAGGCAGAAACAGTGGGTCTCTCTGACTTTGAGGTCAGCCTGGTCTACAAAGTGAGTTCTAGGACAGCCAGAGCTACAAAGAAAAACCCTGTCTCCAGAGAAAAATAAAGAAGATTCTGTTAGTTCAATTTAGTCATTTCATAGCGTACAAATTTCAAAATATTCTTGTAAATGTTGCACAAATATACAGATGATCTTTATCAATAAGAACAATATATTGGGAGTCTAGAGAGATGGCTCAGTGATTAAGAGTAATTGCTACTACTATAGAAGGCTCAGGTTCAAGTCCCAGCATCCACAAGGAAGCTTACGAAAATCTGTAACTCCAGTTCTGAGGGATCCAATGCGATATTTTTGGCCTCTGGGGGCACTAAGCATGCACACAGTACACATACATATTACGTTAAATAAAAAAATGAAGTAAATCTAAAACAGTGGGCCTAGAATCTAGGCATGGTGGTACATGTTTTTAATCCCAGAACTTGGAAGGTGACAGAGGCAGGCAGATCTTACTTAACTTAATCTATAAAGTGAGTACCAAGATAGCAGGGCTATAAAGTAACCCTGTCAAATGAATAAATAAACAAACAAATAAATGGGCTGGGGAAAATAGAGAAACCCTGTCTCCAAAAACCACAAACAAACAAACAAACAAACAAATAAATGGGTTTGGAAAATGACTCAGTAGATAAAAGTACTTGCTGAGTGAGCAAGCCCAACAATCTAATTTGATCCCCAGAACCCACAGTGGAGGTAGAGAACTAAATCCCAAAGACTTTCCCTGACCTGGGATTAAAAGTGTATGCCACCACTGACAAGCTGTGCAGAATTTTCTTAAATGGATCATTTGAGATCAGAAGATCGACCTGCTGGTGGCAGCCTATCTCACTCGAGAGTTCATCTATCCTGCTGCTTGGGCATTATTTTGCTGTTACTAGTATGCAGAATGAAGACCAGCTGTCTTATCCCCGTGGACTCAACTATCAGATTCTTGACTTTTGCATCAAGAGACATTCATTGTTGGACTAGTTGGATCACAGCCTGTAAAACATTCTAGTAAACCTATACACACACACATATATATATATATATATATATATATATATATATATATATATATATTTAATACATATATTTATTATATTTATATTCATTCTGTCAGTTTTGTTTCTTGGAGAATTATAACTAATATCAGTTATATCAACATTCTATTAATAGTCATAGTATCTGTATCATATAAAAGCCACTGCATGATTCTAGAGACAATTTTTCAGTATGTCAAAGGTAGTCTTTCAACCTCACCTTTCCTTTTACATACATGTACTGTACCTGACAAGCTGGATCAAGACCCATTTTTCTTCTAAGAAATTTCTCTACATGCCCAATAGTTGCTTCTCCTGAAACACGCACAAACTTCTTTTCTAATGGCTACAAAAACAGACAAGACTGTTCAGATTATTTAAGTATACACATACATAAAATTACAAACTTTAACGCAAATTTTTTTTAAAGAATTTTTTTTTAAAAGATTTATTTATTTATTTATTATGTATACAACATTCCTTCCATGTGTCCCTGCAGGCCAGAAGAGGGCACCAGACCTCATTACAGATGGCTGTGAGCCACCATGTGGCTGCTGGGAATTGAACTCAGGACCTCTGGAAGAGCAGCCCGTGCTCTTAACCGCTGAGCCATCTCTCCAGCCTTTAACGCAAATTTTTAAGCCAAGATAATTCAGTAGGCTCTTAAAAAAAAACTGCTATGAACTTGAGTCAATTTGTAATCCAAAAAAAAGAAAAATAGAAATTCTGCAAATCTTTTAAATATGCCAACAACATTTTTAATAGAAAGGCTTGTTGATTTACTTTAAAAGTTCATGAAAAACAAGGAAGTCCAGTCCAATGCTACATGTCTGAAATCCTAAAACTTAAGAAGTGGAAACAAGAGGATTTAAGTTCAAGATCAACCTGAGCTATGGTTGACATCCTGTTACAAATATACACACACACACACACACACACACACACACACACACACACGACAAAACAAGAAAATCCGGGCATTGCAGCACCTGCTTGTAGTTTCATCTACTTGGGAGAAGACGACACAAGAGCAATGCAGTACATGCCTGCAGTTCGGGTTTAATTGAGCCTAAGAGCTAAGACAGCCTGGACAACATATACATACACTTGAGAAAACAAGGGTTTTTGTTTTTGTTTTTTTGAAGTCAAGTATGGTGGCTCACATCTATAATCCCAGTACTCTAAAAGCTGAGGCAGGAAAACTGTCATGAGCTAAGGACAACCTAAGCTATAGGCCTATTTCATTAAAAAAAAAAAAAAAAAAGGAAGAAAGAAAGAAAGAGAATTTCTTTCTAAAATTTAAAATAAGAAGAAATCTAGACACAGGTAGTTAGCGTTACAGGTAGTTGTGAGCCGCTCGATGAGTGTGCTGGGAACCACCCACAATCAGCTCTTCTGCAAGAGCAGTCTAGGCTCTTAATTGCTGAGCCGTCTCTCCTGCCCCATGCTGCCATCTTTTACAATATCCTGTTCCCGATTCCCCACAGGCATCTGAAGATCTCCACTAAAATGAGTCACCTTAGATTCTAGGTACAGCAGAACCTCACAGACAGATCTCCCCATTGTGAGAACATCTTTAGCCAGAACAACCATCTCAAGAGAACCAAACTGTCCCCTCAAACAATAAAAACTCCTGAACCAGCTTCAAGAGGCAGAACTAAGGTAATGACCCATCAGACCACAGTCTGATCAAAACTTGTTAAATACTTGCCTCTTGCCCCAGCTTTGTTTAAACCTAAAGTTGCCAGGCATGGTGATTCACACATAAATTCCTAGCATTAAGGCAAGCAGAGTGCCATGAATTCAAGGCCAGACTGGGCTACGTGAGTTCCAGGTTAGCTGGGCTACAGAATGAGAACTTGTCTCAAAAACACAAAAGAACAACCACCACAAAAAGCTAAGCCAGTGACTTTAAGACAAATGAATCACGGAACCTCTTTATCAGTTCTTTTCCTAATGTGGCAATACTGATTAAACCTTTTAATGCTTTTCATCAATACTTTTTTCCCCAGACAATATTACCCAGAGTTGCCCTGAACTTGACATGTACCTCACAAGTGCTGGGATTTCAGGCATAGGAACCACACTGGTTATGGAGTGTGGCAAGAAAAAGCCACACCAACTGGAACTCTATCCCTAGTCCAAACTCGCCTCAACTGTCACAACAGGATGGGTAACTGAGCCTTGCCTGTTGGGACTCACACAGCCATGGGTTTTCCCTTAGAACTCTAGTACATAGGTGTCACAAACAAAACAACTCTGCCATTTCTTAATAAAATGAACAGTCTTTATCACAAATACATCAGAGATCTACTTTTCTAGGTGTCTCTAGCTTGCTATACATCTCAACAACTGACAAAGTATGATACAAAGTAGTTTTATTCTTACCTCAAATCTCAGTGAATGCTTGAAGTGACAAGTTAAGGCAGGTTAACTTAGTCAAAAATGTTAAATATAAAAATTTAAATTCATGTTAAACTCTAAGCACCAACTATACAAGACACTTTGGATTTTTTTTTTTTAAGACTGGTCTTACAGAGTAGCCTAGGCTGGCTTCAAATTTTGGATCCTCTTGCTGCAGCCTCCAGAGAGGTAGGAAAACAAGCTTATAATTACCAAACCTGACTCTTAGAATTTTTTAAAATTACATTAAAGTTGGGACTGGTAGTACATGCTTGTAATCCTATCACTTGGAAAGTAGAGGCAGGATGATCAGAAGTTCAAAGTCATCTTTGGCTGCATAACAAATTCAAGGCCAGCATGGGGCTATATAAGATCTATTTCAAAAATCTAAAAAAAAATGAATAACCAATCAACATGGCATTTGGTTTTGTAAATTATTTACTTATTTTCCTTATATTACTTTCTGAATCAGTAACAAAGCTCCACTTAATGTTCCTTACCCTGAGACACTAATACAGCATTACTGTTACTGTTGAATTTCAGTAGCTTGCTTATCAAACATTTTAATTAAAGATAATCTCTACTTGATTGCTAATCTGATTCAGAATTTTTATCTATAGCATCCTCTAAGTAAACAAAAAATGCATTACCTTAAAGTGTCCTGTATCTTCATTAGCACTGAAAAAATAAAGGAACGGTTACTCAATATTAATACTTTATTTATTGGTTTTTTTTTTTTTTTTTGAGACAAGGTTTCTCTGTAGCTTTGGTGCCTGTCCTGAAACTAGCTCTTATAGATCAGGCTGGCCTTGAACTCACAGAGATACACCTGCCTCTGCCTCCCGCATGCTGGGATTAAAGGCGCATGCCACCATAATGGGCTAAAATCTTTTTTTACATTTGTTTTATATTGACGCTCACACCACAGTGCTTTCCATGTGGAGGTCAGAAGAGAACTTGCAGGCATCAGTTCTCTCCTTCCATCATACGAGTTCCTGGGATCTATCTCAGGTGGACAGGCTTGACAGTGACTTTCCCTGCTGAGCCATCTCACCGGCCTCAATTTTTATATTATGTTTTGAGACAAGAGCTCATGTAGCTGGGGTTGGTCCGGAACTCACTATGCAGTTGAGGCTAATCTTGAATCTCTGACTCTCCTGCTTCCACCTCCTGAACACTGGGGTTTTACAGCTGTGTGTTACCACACCCAGCATTTTGGGGTGGGGTGGGATTGGGGGAGCAGTAGGTTGAGAACAAGCTTCTGGGTAGTCTGGCTGTTCTGGGCTTGAGATGTAGACCAGGCTGTACTCAAACTCACAGAGATCTGCCTGCCTCTGCCTCCCGAGAGCTGGGATTAAAGGCGTGCATACTACTAGGAAAGGCCTTATTCTATTTTTAAAACATGGTTATATAAATCTTTGGAAAGAAATAAGATTGTCACTTCTGCCACCTAGTGGTAAAACAAGTAAAGTTTAATACCGCATTTTAAACTTTGCACACTTCATTTCCTGAGGGGGAGAAAGTTTATGAACCGGTCACACACCTTTAATCCAAGAGCTTTCTGCCTGAATATTGTATACAGAATTAAATAAAGTCAGCCACAGATCAAGAGGCAAAACAACCAAGCAGCTGACAGGAAGTGAATACAAGATTATTAAGGAAAAAAAAACAGAGTAAGAGGGAGTCAGGAGGATAGAGATGGGAGGGGGGCTGGAGAGATGGCTCAGAGGTTAAGAGAATTGCCTGCTCTTCCAAAGGTCATGAGTTCAATTCCCAGCAACCACATGGTGGCTCACAACCATCTGTAATGAAGTCTGGTGCCCTCTTCTGGCCTGCAGACATACACACAGACAGAATATTGTATACATAATAAATAAATATTTAAAAAAAAAAAGAAGAAAGAAAGAGATGGGAGGGACATTGAGTTTGAGAAGGCTGGTTTGAGAGCAGAAGAAAAATGTCAGCTGGGCTCTTTCTCTGCCTCTCTGAGCTAGCAGGCTTTCACCCCAGCATCTGGGTTCCAATCTTTATTCATAAAATCAAATGATTGATATTTTGTTAAAAACAACACAGATCCTCTCAAACTGGAGTTACAGACAGCTGTGAGCAATATGACATGATTGGGAACTATCCTCTGCAAGAACAGCAAATGCTCTTAACCACTGGAACACCTCTTCACCCCCAAAAGGTAATTTACAAGCCAAGCATGGTGGATTACAAACTGAAAACCAGGCACCAGAGGATGAGTTCAAAGCTAGTCTAGGCTACAGTGTAAAAGAACTCAAGAACAATGGCAATGGGTTTTTGATCCTACTGCACGCACTGGCTTTGTGGGAGCCTAGGCAGTTTGGATGCTCAACTTACTAGACCTGGATGGAGGTGGGGGTTCCTTGGACTTCCCACAGGACAGGGAACCCTGATTGCTTTTCGGGCTGAGTGGGGGGGACTTAATTGGGGGAGGGAAATGGGAAGCGGTGGCGGGGAAGAGACAGAAATCTTTAATAAATAAATTAATTAATTAATTAATTAATTAAAAAAAAAAACCTTGACTCAAAATGCAAATGCAAAAAGTAAGCAAACACATTTTCTAGGTTACTCACCCAATGAACTCTAGTAATAAAGACATATCAAGTTCAGGTGGAATACGAAACACTGACTCTAGGACTTTCTTGGTTTTTCCTTTGTTTGAAGGGACTGGTTGTGGAACAGCTAATTGAGACAGAAACAAAGAAGCTAACGTAGCATTACAATTTTAATAATAATTTAATAATATAATAATTTAATAATTGTCATCTTTAAGGAATGAATCACACAGTATTATTATACTATGTTAACTAAATTATTATAAAGCCCTGAACAAATCTTCTTTTCCGTAATAACATCAGTTAATCTATCAAAAATCAATGATTTTAAGGTAGGAAAAATGGCTCAGCTGGTAGAGGTACTTGCTGCCAAGTCTTTGGGTCTGACCCCTAGGACCCACCTTGTGAGGTACTAACTTCTGCCAGTGGATTCCTGTGCAAGTACAAACACGTGTGCATACATATATACACTTGCACACATACATATACACACACATTCTCTAAATAAACATAAATGTAAAAAAAGGAAAGAAAAACAACAAAATTAACTGTAAGCTCAGGGACCACTCCACAATAAAAGGCAGACATGTGACTGATTTATATGGGCCACACAGAGTTCATTAAAACAGCAACAACATAAGTAACTACAAATACTATGTACAATACTCATGCTTAGCACATTACACTCTCATTTAATCATTATAAATGTACAATAGCTACACTTAAAATATGAGAAGAATTTGCCTAAGGTCCCCAAGTAACAGAACAATCAGGATTTAAACCCAAATCTACCTGACATTATTACTAACATAAAAGTAAGTTACCATGTGCCCAGCACTGTCCAAAGTGCTGGTATTAATCAATGTGTTTAATCAAGTATGATATTCATCCTTATTTTATAGATGTTTGTCACTGTATTATCTACTATTATTTCCTCACATCACCTAACCTAACCAAGAGTCAGTGCTAGGAACAAACTCACAAAATCTAGCTCTTGAGTCTGTTTGTGATTCCTCCTCACACACTTTTGTTTTGCTTTGTTTTGTTTTTTGAGACAGGGTTTCTCTGCGTAACAGTCCTGGCTGGCCTCGAACTCACAGAGATCTGCCTGCCTCTGCTGAGTGCTGGGATTAAAGGTGTGTGCCACCACTGCCCCACTGCCCAGCAATCACACGTTTTTTTTTAAAAAAAAGAAAGTCGGGCTGGAGAGATGGCTCAGAGGTTAAGAGCATTGCCTGCTCTTCCAAAGGTCCTGAGTTCAATTCCCAGCAACCACATGGTGGCTCACAACCATCTGTAATGAGGTCTGGTGCCCTCTCCTGGCCTGCATGCATACACACAGACAGAATATTGTATACATAATAAATAAATAAATATTATTAAAAAAAAAAGAAAGTCTCACCAGGGGGTGGTGGTGCACACCTTTAATGCCCTCACTCAAGTGGAAAAGACAGGTGGACCTCTGTGAGTTTGAGGCCAGCCTGGTCTACAAAGTGAGTTCCAGAGGAGCCAGGGCTACATACAGGAACCCTGTCTTGAAAAAAACAAAGTGTCTCATTATGTTACTCAGGCTGGCCTTAGACTCAACAGCAATCCTCCTGACTCAGTTACCTAAGTGCTGAGATTACAGGCATGCACTACATCCAGTCCCCTTAATTCTTACAAACTGTTAGGTTAGGTTATACTGTAGCATTACCTTCAAAATATTTCTGGGGAGGATATAACTAGGTATTTCCAAAGAGCACCTGTGATGGTATTAATTTTCAACTTGACAGTCTAAAATCACCTGGGAAGTCTTAATGAGGGATTATCTATATCCGGCTGGGTTTATGAGCATGCCTGTGAGGAGTTTTTAATTATGTTAATCTGCCGGGCGGTGGTGGCGCACGCCTTTAATCCCAGCACTCGGGAGGCAGAGGCAGGCGGATCTCTGTGAGTTCGAGACCAAGCCTGGTCTACGAGAGCTAGTTCCAGGACAGGCTCCAAAGACACAGAGAAACCCTGTCTCGAAAAAACCAAAAAAAAAAAAAAAAAATTATGTTATGTTAATCTATCTGGGAAGACCCAGCCTAAGAGTGGGCAGTATCATTCCCTGGGTTGGAAGTGAGCTGAGCAGTGGGTATGCATGTGTGCATGAATTTTTCTCTTCTTGAGTGTGAGCATGTTGTGACTAAGAGCTCCAGTTCCTCGGCCTTCATTTCCCTGTAATGATGTGATGTAGCCTGTGAGCCACACTAACCCTCTCTCCCTAAGCTGCTCCTACCAGGTCTACTTTATCACCTAATAGAAAGCGAATGAGGACAGCGCCCCAAGGACAGTTTATCTCTTCAGTCCATGAATACATTACAATACACATTCAAACTTACCAGGTTTGGGTACTTCTAGACCTCTTTCTTTATAGAAATCATGCATTTGCTTTTTTTCTCCTAAAAAAATGATAAAACACAGACTAAATTACATGTAAAATGTAACTAGCAGAATCAGAGCCTTTGGGAGTCATAACCATGAAATGAAAGAAACTTACTTTCCTCTAGATTGATCACTAATTTGTACACTATGTCTTGTAACTGTCGGTCCAACCTAAGAAAAGAAAGGATAGAGAATATTGCAACATTCAGAAAAATGAATTTTGGTACAAAGTCAATTCACTGTTTTCCCTCAGGAGCAAAAATCTTTTTAAAGCCGGGCGGTGGTGGCGCACGCCTTTAATCCCAGCACTTGGGAGGCAGAGGCAGGCGGATCTCTGTGAGTTCGAGACCAGCCTGGTCTACAAGAGCTAGTTCTAGGACAGGTTCCAAAACCACAGAGAAACCCTGTCTCGAAAAACCAAAAAAAAAAAAAAAAATCTTTTTAAAAATTTTTATTTTTTTGGTTTTTCAAGACAAAGTTTCTCTGGGTAGCCCTAAATGTCCTGGAACCTGCTCTGTATGCCTCAAACTCAAGAGATTCACCTGCCTCTGCCTCCTGAGTGCTGGGTTAAAAGGTGTGCGCCACCATGTCTGGCTAGGAGCAGACATCTTGAGTCGGCAGAGTAAGGCAGTACTCGCAGTGCCTAAGACATACTTCATCTCAGAAAACCAAAGACATTGGGGGGAGGGGGAGAAAAAAAAAAGAAAAAGAATAAAAAAAAAAAAGGAAGAAAACCAAAGACATATATGTAATCTTATAGATTCTTGAATAGTTCACTAACTGTTCCTTGGTCTTGTGCACTCAGTAAGAATTTGAGCTTGAGGACAGGACTACGTATTTTTTTTTAATGATTTTTATCTTATGTTTCTATTTTATTTTATTTGTGTCTTGCATGTGTCTGTGGGTGCTGGGAATTCAACCTGGATCCTTTGGAAGAACCACTGAGCCATCTCACTAGCCCACCTCCTATCCTTTTTTTCAAGACTCCATTTTAACTGTTAAGTACCATCTCATCTGAGAGATGGTTAAGAACACAGATTGCTCTTCCAGAGGACCCAAGTTCTATCTATTCCCAGAACTCACATGGCAGCTCATAACCATCTGTAATTCCAGTTCCAGGGAACTCATTGCCCTCTTCTAACCTCTGAGGGCTCCAGGTACACATATGGCACACCTTAAAAAAAATAGTTATTGAAGTCAGGCGGAGTGGTATACTCTTTTACATTAGGAAGGCGGCAGAGGCAGGGGGATCTGAGTTTGAAGCCAGCCTGCTCTACAAACTTGAGTTCCAGGACAGCCAGTGCTACACAGAAAAACCCTGTCTCGAACTCTCCCCAATTCTCTAAGGAAACGGCATGAAATGGAAAGTCAGTTAATATGCTATAATGACCTAAGTTTTATTGGTAAGGCTCGTTGTTTCAGGAATTCTGAGAACGACCTACATGCTGCAGAGTGGAAATGACTGGCTGAAAGTATCCCCCCTTCAGGGTTAGGTTAGAATAGCCAACCTGTGTCTGCTGTCACTTCTTCCCCATTCCCGTCACTAATGGCCATATACTCTCAAGCATACACCACAGTGCCTGGCACACGGTACATGCTCCACACACATTGCTTATGCCATTCCCTTTCTGCTAATTTTGACAGAGTTCAAAGAATACAATACAACTACACAATATCAAGATTTCAGAAAAAATACTTAAAATAATTATTTTAAAGGTAAATCCATTTTAAATGCATCTTTTCTTACCTTATATTATAAAGAGGCTGGGTCTGGTGGACAACTATGTTGCATTTTGGGCATCTGTTGCCATAGTAAAAATGTCTTACAATGCAGCTTTTACAAACTATTGGAAGAGAAACTGTTTAGTTTAGGATACTTTAAAGACATTTCAAATTTGTAAACTACAATTCTGAAATGTGAGCTGTATGCTTACAGGTATGAAGACACTCTGTAATGGTAGTTGCATCTATTAAGTACCCCTTGCAAATAGAACACATGATGTACGGGGTCAGTTCAGCAAGGTTCAGCAGGCGCTGCAAATGCAATGGTAACAAGTTTAGAATACAAGCCTTTGCCGTCTCCAAGCCATACACCAGCCGGGTGAGGCAGTCTTGGGTTATATTCCTCCTTACTAGCTGAAACTGAAGGCACATTTGAGCCCAGGAGTTCAAGACCAGGCCAAAGCAACACTGTAAGGCCTCATTTCAAAACAATTTAAGCCATAATCTCAAGATTTCATTATAAGCAATGTAACTTAATTGCACCTTCAACCCTTCAAAATATTCAATCTCTGTTTCTCAGAGATCCCGCTTCTCTGGCATATACTTTACGCTGATAGTGAAGGGCATCAGTTCTTTTGTTGTTTTACAAAACGCCCCTCGACCAGCCTGGACATCCCACACTACCAAGGACGACCCTGAACTTGTAGCCTCCACCGCCCGAATGTTGAGAGTAACGGTATTACAGCCTCGCCCAATGTAAGCCTCCTGCAGGCCAGAGAAACACTACCAAAGGGCTACGCCCACCACCGGGATGCCTTTCTTTCCACAGAGTTACAAAAATGGGCAAATTAGACCACCACGTTAACAAAAACCCAAACGCTCACTGTTAGTGATGGATTTATCACCCTCAACACCCTGCAGAAAATGACTACGTCTCCGTCCGACTTGTAGACTCGAGGACAGCCTCACGAAACCTAGACGGCTAACCCCTCCCGGTCTTGCAGACAACAGAAAGAAGCCGGACAGAGAGTGCGCTAGGTGATCTGCAGGGACTCCGCAAAATAAAGCAGGAGCGAGGCCACGCCTGGGTGGGCGGGGATGGAGAGCTACACAAGTGCCGCGAGCTGCAAGCGACGACAGCAATGGCAGGTCTGCCGGTCCCGCTCGGTCCCAGAGGCCGCTCGGGCACAGCCAGGTCCGGAAGGGTCGTCGGTACCTCCTCCTCGTCCTCGGAGTCCGGCCGCCCCGACTCCAGCCGCAGCGAGAAGTGGCTCATGTCTTCCTCCTCCTCCTCTTCCTCCTCCATCTCCTCATCCTCCTCCAACTCCTCGTCGTAGTCCTCGAAGCGGCCCCTCAAACGGCCCAGGCTGCGCTCGGGCTCCAGCTCCGGGGGCCGAGAGCGGGAGCAGCCGGGAGCGCCCGCCTCGGTCAGGGACGCCGGGCCCTCCTCACCGGCCGCGGGCGCCGGGGTGAGGGCCGGCGGAGAGATGGGAGGCGGCGGCGGAGGCATGGCAGAGGCTCGCTTGGCCTCGGAGGCGCGACAGTTTTCAGTGGCGTCCGTCTCAGCCTCTTCCATGGCGGGGGTCGGAAACCAGGCGAGGTGAGCGCGAGGCGAGGCGGACAGCTAGCGCGCGAGGAGAGCAACAGCAACACCCTCTCCGTTCTAATGCGCAGGCGCAGGAGCTTTGCAGGGGCCTCTGGGAAATGTGGTTTACCTAGTGCCTGCCTAGGTGAGGCGGAGCTGCTCAGGTGGGGGCGGGGCTTGTGGGCCGCGCCTTAAAGGAAGGTCACCCAATTTTTCTGTCTGAGGCTTGCCTTGAACTTTTCAAAAAGACTAGAATGCTACAGTTTCAGTATTTTACTTGCATTTGCTTGTTCATAGAGAATGGAACTCTAGATGCCATGTGTTGTTAAATTACAAATGATGATGACTTCATTTTGAGTACTATTTACGTTTTTCCTTCTGTGACTATTGCATCCATCCAAGCTAAGTCTACTTAGTGAAACCTTGTTCTCAAAAAACAAACAAACAAAAAAGCTAAGATGGCTCAACCGGTAAAGGAATTTGCCACCAAGCGTAAGGATCTGAATTCAATACCCAGTAGTCACCTGGTAGAAGGAGAAACCCGACTCCGGAAAGTTGTTCTGTGACTTCCTCTTGTGCCCAAGGCTCATGTGTGCCCCCCAACCCCACAAAATAAACAATAATAGTAATAAAAAAAATCCATTGTAGAATTTATAAGAACATACCAAATCCAATTAAAGGTCAGCGGGTGAATACGAAAAAGAAAATGACTGGGGTCGAAGATACGGCTCAAAGGTCGTGTGCTTGACTACCTGTGTGAGACCGTGGTTCATCTCTAGCTCCAAAAAACATAACCAGAAAAAGAAAAGAAATATGAAAAATGAGAAAAAGTTAGAAGACAGCATCGATAAGAATAGCCTCATAAGGGGGCTGGAGAGATGGCTCAGTGGTTAAGAGCACTTCCAGAGGTCCTGAGTTCAATTCCCAGCAACCACGTGGTGGCTCACAGCCATCTATAATGAGACCTGGCGCCCCCTTCTGGCTTGCGGGCACACATGGAAGGAATGCTGTACACATAATAAATAAGTAAACATTAAAAAAAAAAAAAAAAGAATAGCTAGTTCCAGGATAGGCTCCAAAAGCTACAGAGGGGCCCTGTCTCAAATGTCTCAAAAAACAAAACAAAACAAAAACCAAAAAGAAAAAAAAAAGAATCCTTACTTAAAAAAAGCAAAAACAGGGGCTGGAGAGATGGCTCAGTGGTTAAGAGCATTTCCTGCTCTTCCAAAGGTCCTGAGTTCAATTCCTGGCGACCACATGGTAGCTCAAAACCATCTGTAATGAGGTTTGGTGCCCTCTTCTGGCCTGTAGACATACACACAGACAGAATATTGTATACATAATAAATGAATAAATACTTTTTAAAAAATTAAAAAAGCAAAAACAAACAAAACTAACAAAACACAAAAATTGCCACATACGTGGGCTGGAGAGATGGCTCAGTGGTTAAGAGCATTGCCTGCTCTTCCAAAGGTCCTGAGTTCAATTCCTGGCAACCACATGGTGGCTCACAACCATCTGTAATGAGGTCTGGTGCCCTCTTCTCGTCTGCAGACCTACACACAGACAGAATATTATATACATAATAAATAAATAAATGTTTTTTTTAATTTTCACATAGATTAATCGGAATAAAATTGAGAAGTCGGAACCTTCACATTTAGTCTTGAGACCCTTGACAAGAGTGCCAAGCTAATTAAAGAGGGAAGAATCTTGTCTTTTCAGTTTTCCTGACATGTCTTGTGCCTGTGTGTATGTCCAGAGGTGTGACTGCACAAAGGTGGAGGACAATGCGATGGAAATGCTTCTCTCCTTCCACCACGTAAGTCCCAGGGATGGGGCTCAGGGTGCCAGGCTTGGCAGCAAGAGCCTTTATCTTCTGAGCCATCTCACAAGCCCTGTTTTGTATTTTTTTTTCCAAGGCAGCGTTTCTCTGCTAACCCTGGCTCTCCTACAACTCGCTCTGTAGATCAGGCTAGCCTCCAACTCATAGGCTCCCCTGCCTTTAAATGCTGGGTTAAAGGTTCATGTCACCACATCCAGCCTCTGTTTTGTTTTTCTGTAACATGGTCTTCCTCTGTAGCCCAGGCTGACGGGGAACTCACTACGTAACAGTGAACTCACAGTGCTCCTCTTGCCTCAGCTTCTCAAGTGCTGGAATTACAGGCATAAACTGCCTTGCTATTCCTGTCTCTAAAATGACAAATGACAAAAAGAAAATATAGATTGGAAAAATAAAAATGCTTCAAAGAATATTGATAAACACCATAAAGAAAACTATAGTGATGGACACCCTCTATAAATCATTGAATAGTCCATAACCCTTTCTTTTTTTTGGGGGGGGGGCGTTTCAAGAAAGGATTTCTCTGTGTAGCCCTGGCTGTCCTGGAACTTGCTCTGTAGTCCAGGCTGGCCTTGAACTCACAAATATCATCCTGCTTCTGCCTCCCGGAGTGCTGGGATGAAAGGTATGCACAACCACCACCCGGCTCCATAACCCTTCAACCTGGCATCTGTATGTCCAATGTAATCCAGAAACAGGAGAGGAAATCCGGAAGGACATGAGAGTGCATATGGGACCTCGGAGTACAGGCAAGAATGGCATCCCAAATCCCTGAGGTAGATGCAGACTTTCACAGAAATACTGAGGAAAAACGGTTAGTTGCCTAGTGAGGAAAGTTAAAACAGCAGAGGAAGTTGCTTATTCTTTTCTATCTTCAAGGAAATCTAGAACTGTGACTGACCCTTGGTCAACCCCTGGAACTGCGATCATTAGCGTTTATTCTCTGTCAATGATTGACAGTTTCGATGTGTGTACCTGGGGTAGTGGACCATGCTGTGCCAGTTTGTCACACTGCTTTATAAAAAAAACAGTATTTATGACATGCGTGCCTGTGGTTTCATTGTTAGAGGGCTGACTTTTGAAACAGTTGTGGCTGGTTATGTAGCAAGATAGCCATTGGTTTTTGTTTTTTGGGTTTTTTGTTTGGTTTGGTTTTTGTTTTTTTTGTTTTTTTTTTTTTGAGACATGAACTTGCTGTTCGGCCTTGGATGGCTAGGAATTCACTATGCAGACTAGGCTGGCCTCAAACTCACAGAGATCCATCTACCTCTGCCTCCCCAGTGCTGGGATTAAAAGTGTGCACAACACAGCTGGCCCTCACTTGCTACTGAATCCTGAATGTATTTTCAGAGGGTTACTAGGCTTTCAGAAGCTGTGGGACTTCTGGAATACCTTTTCCAACTTTATTACTATTATCATTATTATTGTGTGTATGTGCGTGTGTGCGTGTGTACACACTGTATGTATGTGTGTGTGAAAGAGAGGGGTGTGTTTACCACAGAGTGTATGAGAGGACAATTTTCTAGAGTTAGTTCTCTTCTTCCACCTTCATGCAGGTTCAGAGGATCAAAGTCAGGTCATCTTCTGGTACAGCATCTTCTGGTGGCAAGCATCTTTGCCTGCTAAGCCATCTTGACACCCTTTAAATACTTTTGATTAGGTTTTTGTTCTGACACTAATGGAAATTGAACATAGGGCCTTGTAAATGCTAAGCAATGACTCTACCACAGGGCCACATCCCCAAACCCTGGAAAGCTTTTGCAAAAGACATTTAGATGCAAGCTACGTGGCAGTGGTGCTTTAATCCCAGCACTTGGCAGGCAGAGAGAGGCAGATCTCTGTGAGTTCAATGCCAGCCTGGTCTGCAGAGTGAGTTCCAGGACAGGCACCAAAAAGACATTTAGACATTTAGATGCACACCTTATACCATATACAAGATTAAATCTAAACTGATTCATGAACTAAAGCAAAAAGAAACTAGGCTGTAGAAGGAAACATGGGTGAATTCCTCCTTATCCATGCACTTAGAAAGGCATCCTACAAGTGATTCTAGCTCCAGATGCAGTAAAATACTGATAAATCTGACTTCATGTAAATGCACACACAAAAAATCTCAGATAGAGCCAATTCTGGCCGGATGGTGATGGCGTATGCCTTTAATCCCAACAATCAGGAGGCAGAGATGGGAGGATGGAACCCTGTGAGTTTGAGGCCAGCCTGGTCTACAAGAGCTAATTCCAGGACAGGCCCCAAAGCTACAGAGAAATCCTGTCTTGAAAAACAAAACAAAACAAAAAAGAGAGTCAATTCTGTAGTTTTACTGGTATATAAGTGTAACACTATGTTTTATTTCTAGTATACTCATTTTTCTTATGTGTTATCTCTGTGTATGTGTCCCCACCATGTGAGTCCTGGGAATTGAAGTCAGCTTGTTGAGTTTCTCAACAAGAGTCTTTACCTCCTGAGCCATCTCACCGGTTCCCATTTTGTTGTTTCTTGAGTGAGTCAGGGTCTCACTGTGTCTTGAAAAAAAAAACCCAAAAAACAAAAATTAAAGAAGAGGGGCTAGTAAGAGTCAGTGGGTAAAGACACTGTGTAAGCCTGATGACCTGAGTTCAAGGTTTATGAATGGTTGCCAGCGTATATAAGTGAACTACATGCATGCCTGGTGCCCACTGAGACCAAATTGGAGAGAGTTCCTTGAAAGACCCCATCTTGCTGGATGTGGTAGTGCATGCCTATAATCCCAGCACTGGGAGGTAGAGGCACTTAGAACTCTGTGAGTTTAAGGTTAGCCTTATCTACTTAGCAAGTTCCTGTGTTTAGGAATGTTTGTTTAACTATGTAAAGATGTGTTGCTGTTTTACCTTGCCTGCTTAAGGTACCTGATTGGTTAATAGCAAGAGGAGTTATAGGTGGAACTTCTGGGAGAAGGAGATGCCAAGACATGCCAGTGGCCAGCCAGACACAGAGGAAGCAGGAAAGTAGGACATACAGAATGAAAGGAAGGTAAAAAGCCCTGAGGCAAAAATGTAGATGAATAGAAATAGGTTAAATTAAGTTAAACGAGCTAGGAGACCAGCCTACCCTAAGGTAAGCAACGTCCATTCGGAAACAAAATGTGGCTAAGCTTTGTTTTTTAGTGTCTGGAATTCCTTTGCAAGCCCTCTCAGGTTTTAAGTGGATTTTAGTTGGCCCTACATTAGGCACCAGTTTGTT